CGCTCGTTCTGTTCTTATGAACTGCTGTTCAGATCCTGTTCTTGCCAGCTGATTTGCGGTTTCATTCCCTGCAATACTCTCCTATTGAGATGCCGCAAGCTGGTTCAGATGTTCAGATCCTGTCCTTGCCAGTTGATCTGCGGTTTCATTCCCAGCAATACTCTCCTACTGAGATGCCGCAAGCTGGTTCAGGTCCTGTTCTTGCCAGCTGATCTGCGGTTTCATTCCCAGCAATACTCTCCTACTGAGATGCCGCAAGCTGGTTCAGGTCCTGTTCTTGCCAGCTGATCTGCGGTTTCATTCCCTGCAATACTCTCCTACTGAGATGCCACAAGCTGGTTCAAGTCCCATGAACAGCTGTTCAGATCCTGTTCTTGCCAGTGTGTCTGTGGTTTCATTCCCAGCAATACTCTCCTACTGAGATGCCGCAAGCTGGTTCAGGTCCTGTGAACGGCTGTTCAGATCCTGTTCTTGCCAGCTGATCTGCGGTTTCATTCCCAGCAATACTCTCCTACTGAGATGCCGCAAGCTGGTTCAGGTCCTGTTCTTGCCAGCTGATCTGCGGTTTCATTCCCAGCAATACTCTCCTACTGAGATGCCGCAAGCTGGTTCAGGTCCTGTTCTTGCAGGCAGATCTGCGGTTTCATTCCCTGCAATACTCTCCTACTGAGATGTCGCAAGCTGGTTCAGGTCCTGTGAACGGCTGTTCAGAGCCTGTTCTTCCCAACTGACCTGCGGTTTCATTCCCAGCAATACTCTCCTACTTAAATGCCGCAAGCTGGTTCAGATCCTGTTCTTGCCAGTTCATCTGCGGTTTCATTCCCAGTAATAATCTCCTACTGAGATGCCGCAAGCTGGTTCAGGTCCTGTTTAGGTCCTGTTTTTGCCAGCTGATCTGCGGTTTCATTCCCTGCACTACCCTCATGACCTGGCACCCATATCAGTTGTACTCTGTTGTGTCTGGCCAGTGAATGGAGGTATAACTCCACCATTGTTTACCTCGGCATTATAGACGTGAGTGGCCAGCTTCACTCTTCAGCTACTTTATTTCTAGGGGGAAGAACCCTCAGTAACCACTGGATAGGACGTTGTTTGGGCTTCACAGCCGGTCTGGATGCTGTGGAATAGAGGAAAATTTGTTGTCCTGCCGTAAGTATAACCCAGGTCGTGCTGCCCTTAGCCCGTCGCTCTACCACCCGAATTATCCCAGCTCCTACTTAATTTTTGTGTAAAATAAAAATCAGACCTAATATATATATATATACACCTCTCTCTCTCTCTGTATTCCTGTTGCTCCCACTTGGAGCATAGGACATCCGTAAAACGCTTCGTTTCATTTCAGTTTCTTAATCCTTTGACAAGCGGTAGGATTTCTTAGACGGGGATCAGTTCGTCGCAAGGCCCCTACCTACGCAGGACAGCACAAATATAGAATAAAAGTAAACATCTATGCTTTGAGTGGGATTCTAACCCAAGATCTCAGTGTCTGAAAGGGCGAAGACTTTCATGCCTTAGACGTTGTGGACACTGTGATCGACAGACCTAATATAGTAGTGCTTGAATACCATTATTTACGTATATTCCTGTTTCATGATAATAAAATATTAAGCCAGAGAGAGATGTGACATTTGGTATGGCCCGTTGTGAATCTCCATGGTGGATAGGATAGCGCTCGTCCCTGTAACTTCCTCGTCTCCGCCCCACGGAAATCCAAACAAGAAAGGAAGAATATAAACATAATAAATCGAACAATATGTGCCATGTCCTCTGTCGACTCTGCTCTTTTGTTGCAGTTCGGCTCCACGCTTGTGACGTACCTCATTGTACTCCTGCAGCTGAAGTTCACGGTGGGTGGGCCCACTCAGCGCCCCTCCTGAAGGATCAACTGCAGCTGCTATCTACAGTGTCCCTCAAGTTCGCCTGACCACGCTGAACTTTTAATACCAATTTATATGATTTCCTGCGACATCTTTCTGAAGTCATTTATTTGTTTTTCAGCCAGTCTTTCATTTTCAAGACTTGACTCAGTATCTGAGGACATGTCCCAACAAAAGCAATGTGCTAAGGTGACGGTGAGTGGCGGACTGTCAGGGAATCGGAAGATTACGACCCTGTTCTACTGGGGATGCTCACCGAATATTTTCGAAATGAGACTGAGGAAACCAACGAGAAACCCCAGCGGGTGTATTACTGGTATTCGTGACGGTTAATCTTGAAGCGACAGAGATGCATAAACGCTGTACCAATTAGGACGGTGAATTTATATCTAATTAGGAAAGCAGCTTCGCCAAAAACTTCAATGGGTTATAGACATTTCAATAACTGAAAACAGATGGGTCAGTAAACTCCACGCCTCTCATGAGGTCCTTGGCTTCTTTACAGAGTTCGCAACAGCCTCTACTCTCTACTGAGCAAGTTCTATGGTCTTAACAAAATCATAGCCAACTTCATTTAGTTCACNAAATAATTTACAGACTCCTCATGCATATGTAATTTATTTATTTTAATTGAAAAAAAAATCCGCCCTCCTTCAGTTTCTGGAGATGCTGGATTCCAATAGAAATCGACATACTCCGTAGTTCATTTCGCACTTTTCCCATTGTGGTTCTCTTTCGGCCTCCCTTAGTTCAAGTTCATAACAATCAGGTCAGTTATAATCTGGTGTTACATAAAGTCAGCAAGTTATACAGCGTAGCCCTAAAACGTAGATTTTTTATTACTAGTGGGGTGGGTCTAAACCCCTTGTACTGCGGCCACTTCTGATGTATTGTACCAGCCCCAGATGATAGGTGAGGGTGATTGTGGAGCAATTGGTGGAATGAAGATTGGCAGGGGAAACCGAAGTACTCGGATAAAACCTCCCCCAGCGCCACTTTGTCCACCTCAGATCCCACTTGACCAGACCAGGGATCGAACCCGGGCCGCCGCGGTGGGAAGCCAGCGACTAACCGAATGAACTATGGAGCGACCTAAAACGTAGATACTTAACAATGATTATAATCATACCGTAATGCTGTACGTCACAAACACAATGACGCAATATTTTTCCTCAGTAGATGGAGTGAAGCTGACTGCGCGTCTGTGTCTGACTTTGGGGTGTGCGTGAAGGATAGCGAGGATTGCGGTAAGCAGTAGTACTGTAGTGGTTGCAGTTTGGTTGTGGGAGAGAAGACAGGTGACGCATGTTAACTAGAGCTCTGCAATCCCTATGTCAGTTAGTGGATTTGAGAAAATCCACTGTGCCTTCTGTTGACAAAGCACAGGTATAAAACCTCGAACAGTACATACATAAAATTTTATGCACAAAATCATTAAGGGTGTTGTGAATTTTGTAATAAATCTTCGTGTTCCATAAAAGGTGTAAAATTTCACGAGTAACTTTGCAACTCTTAGATTCTCAAGAAGACTGCTGTTTCGCGGAGTTACTGGCCGTGTTACGAGTGGAGAGACGCGAGATGTGATGTCACTTCAGCTGCACTGCGTGAGGATAACGAATTGTCACTTGGGCCCTGTTGCAGCCGACACACGTCTTGACACCTTATCTCAGTTAGTGCACACGACTAAATACATAGCGCAAATTTTGAGCTATTTCTTGAGTTCTGGAAGAAGAACCGTCTCGAAAGTCGAACAGAATTTGTCGGTGGTCAAGCTTACAAACGTATTGACAGAGGTCTCTCTATATGTATTATATTAAAGTGACAAAGTGTGTGGTGTCCTAAAATTGCAAATGTCCTTATCTGGACGCTGTGTGAGTGTGGGTACCCTCGTGTAGAGTGACTGCATAACAAATATGACGCCTACTCAGAAAGACCAACCTTTCACCTCGTCGAAGAGATGAACCCATTTTGAAATACATGAAATAGTCTAGGAACAAGAAGCTTGGTCATGGATCACGACGGGGCCCGAAACCAAGAATAAGTCTGCTGGCGAGGACCAGCAATCAGTTACCAGACTACATCAAACTGAGAAGTGGAAAGGACGAGTTACACGCACGCAAACACGCACGCACACACACACACATATATATATATATCATATACTGGTATGTATTACGAGTCCTTTCGACGTTTGTCATGGATGTATATATTTAAAATGTTACATATAAAAACCGCATGTAAATTTGATTAGTTTTCCGCATTTCTATTCCTTCGTGTGACTTAGCAACTTCTTTAGCTGGAAGGAGGCAGAAAGATAGCAGTAAACTATGTGAAGGCCTGAGAGGGAAAGATGAAATGTAGGAGTAACCGCTGTGAAAGCGAATGACAATTGTCTCTATGCCCACTGAAGCACAAGGTCATGAAACCTTACGTGGGAGTATAGAGATAGCTATAAAAAGAGGCGAAAATGTAAAACTAACTCTGTAACAGGCCTTGGAGGCCCATAGGGCTGTAAGACGCCGAGACTCCCACATTTTCCAGACAGTCGGCTCACACATGGCGGTGAGGTTGTCAGCCTTACGCGCCGGCCGCCCTTTACCCCCAAGAAGATTCCTGGTGCTCATTTCTGTTAGAGGCTGAGTCGAAAACAGGTTCATAGTGCGGCTGGAATTATTAAGTCGTTTGAAAAATCCAGTGACCTCATCGGGAATCTAATCCGCCACCTTCTGGCTTGTAGCACAGTGCCTCAACGAACTAGGCTACCGCGTACCGCTAGAGATGTAGCCGCAACGAATGTCAACCTCAAGACCAGGCAAATGTGACCGGCTGGTTCCATGTGTAACTGAGCCGCAAAACTGGGTTCACCTAACCCTGCCCTGATGACATAGAAGCTGAGCCAGCCGGGTTATTTAGGGGAGTTCTAGTGAAGGCGTAACTGAAGGCGTATATTTGCAGTAACAGAGTCAGTGGCGGGCGCAGCGTGTATGTGTAACATGTAGTCACGTTATGCAGCGTAGAACATGTTAGAATATGGAGCCAACATCTTCCTGCAAAACAGCGATGAATTTTTACCGAACTGTACGACGTCATATCCAAGAAGAGAACCACAAAACTTGTGGGAATTTATNGTTTTTAAAAGTTACTAGATGCTATTTAAAAAACTTTTATTGTCAATAGTTAAAATATTTTAAACCATGTAGGTTCGTGTCCGTACTCCTATCGCCCTTCTTGTATGGGGCAGATTTTGTGCCGCCTGTCTATCTTGATGAGGAGGTTCACAACACTGAAAACAACACAGCAAGCCACGAACAAACCCTCGACATCAACAACCTTCTCATCAAGATAGACAGGCGGCACAAAATCTGCCCCATACAAGAAGGGCGATAGGAGTACGGACACGAACCTACATGGTTTAAAATATTTTAACTATTGACAATAAAAGTTTTTTAAATAGCATCTAGTAACTTTTAAAAACTTTACAACACCAGGAAGCTGCTGTGATTGTGAAACGCTCAACTTTATGTGTACTGTGCATTATAGGATATAAGTGTATGTATTTTAAATCAAAACACCTATTGTGATGGTAGTTTCCAGTTTGTAATGATGTTCCCTCTGAAGATGGCCCGTAAGGACCGAAACATGTAAGGGAGATAAGTTTTAACGTAGTAAAAACTTACATGTCACACTGGACGGAGTGGTTTGTATTTAGAATATATTAGATACGGAAAACTTGTGTTCAAGTGACTAGTTGATAAAGTTTCTTCCAATTTTTTCGCGTACCTTTTCCTCTTTTTTATTTCTGTATGTAATGAGAAGCGGTGTGATAGCCTGCCCCCTGTTCGTGTGACTCTAACAGTAGATGCATGTAGCCGCATCTTGAAATGTTATAAAAAAGGTAAAGTTGTCCCTGTGCTTAACTAATTAACCACTACGCCGTGAAGACGTATGGGGTAGTGGACGGATACACCCACGTTTTCTTGACCTCGGTACTAGTTTGAAGGGAGTGGTTAACTTCACACTCCGACCGCTTTACCCCGGGGGAAAGAGCCCCAAATATCCATTGGATAGAGGCTAGCTGAGCTCCAGAACCCGTTTGTAGGATGATGTGGAGAAGTGATATTTCTTGCCACCACCGTGATTCGAACTCCAACCCCTTGGTCATCCAGCCCGTAGACAGTGGCTATACCGACTGAGCTATCCCGGCCATTCTTGAAGTGTTTTATCGAGAAGAAAAGAACGCTGGGTGCTGCACACTGTTTGATCACGTGTTTGCCAATACCGTATTTGCCGTTTCTTATATCGAATATCGTTACAGAGTTGGGTATCACTTCTGATTGGTGTTTGCGAGGTCACGAGTTGATACTTCGGTCCCGAAACCGGAGAAGTTTTTTGGGTTTTCCCAAGTCCCTTAATCACGTACCGAGATAAGTCACAGCCATTTCTTTCTATGTTTTTCCATTTGGCTGTTCACTGGTAATTCCACAAAGTCGGTTCACTTCTTACTGTTATTCGGCAAATATCCCATTCGAGTTTCGGCCAGGACACCAACGTTCCTGGCTGTGGTTTCTCGTGATCTTCCTCAGTACATCCAGAGAAGTTCCTTAATATTACTTTAAATTAGGCTAAAACGTCTTCCTGATATGTGCTTATAACTCAGTATTTACTTTCACCTATTCAATGTGGTCTGCCTTGTTTAGAGTTTCGTTATGTACTGCAGATTAATCGTCCTGTCCTTCGAGGCTGTGTAATCTGACGCACTTGGAAGCTTAATTAAGGAAACTTAATTTAAACAATTGAATACATAGATAATTAGCAGGTGATTACCTCTTTCAAAGCAGTTGTTACAAGCCAAGACTGGAGGGTTTCCTTGCCGCGTGAGTGTAGTTAGCATTTTTGCCCACTGGAAAAAGTGAGCAGGCGTATGTAGTTACTAATACACACAGGTGGCGGATAGAGGGCAGTAGTTGTCTTGTTGTAGCGTGTACTGCAGACATTCCTGCGGGACGACTCATGACGATTACATATGTTTATAATATAATCATACGTGTCATTTAATGTTAATATTTCGTAGTCGCAGTTCCAGATATCTATAAAAATATTGTGGGAATAACTGAATTCTGGAGTGGAAAACAGAAATTTAAAAACTACGTAAAATTTGTTTCGGTTATTTATAATTTTATTTAACTACTGCTTGTCATCTGCGACGGTTTGTTACAACTGAACAAGAAATAACACGATTATAAAGATAAGCTGGAAGCATGTTGATGGAAACAGCTGCGCTCTCTTCAACATACTCGCTCTCTTAGAACTGAACTGTGGGACGGAACGTCTCTGTCGAGAGAGACGAGCTCTTGCTTCATGTTCACGAGACCCGGGTTTGATACCTCGGCACCAACATCGGCCTCCCTGAGTAAGGTTCTTAGTGGTTCTCTTCAACACCGCCAGACAGATTCCGGGATAGTACCACAAAGGAGGTCACCACCTTTTCCATCCATGTTCTTTCCAATTTCGTATTCACTAATCAACATATCATTCAACACTACGTAGTCTGAGCTACTTGTATCGTCACTCAGTAA